CCCTAGGTTCTTCAGAACCTAGGGGCAGGACAGGAATAAAGATGCAGACGTAGAGAATGGACCTGAGGACATGGGGAGGGGGGAGGGTAAGCTGGGACGAAGTGAGAGAGTGGCATGGACATACACTACCAAATGTCAAATAGATAGCTAGTGGGAAGCAGCCGCATAGCACAGGGAAATCAGCTCTGTGCTTTGTGACCACCTAGAGAGGTGGGATAGGGAGGGTGGGAGGGAGACACAAGAGGGAGGGAATATGGGAATGTGTGTATACACATAGCTGATTCACTTTGTTATACAGCAGAAACACATCATTGTAAAGCAATTATACTCCAATAAAGATGTAAAAAAAAAAGAAGACATAATACTACTGCACACTTAACAGACTATAGTATAGTATAAACATAATTTTTTTTTTTTTTTTTTTTTGCAGTACGCGGGCCTCTCACTGCTGCAGCCTCTCCCGTTGCGGAGCACAGGCTCCGGACGCGCAGGCTCAGCGGCCATGGCTCACGGGCCCAGCTGCTCCGCGGCACATGGGATCCTCCCGGACCGGGGCACGAACCCACGCCCCCTGCATCAGCAGGCGGACTCTCAACCACTGAGCCACCAGGGAAGCCCTAAACATAATTTTTATAACACTGGGAAACCAAAATATTCATGTGACTGTTTTACTGTGATATTCACTTTATTGCAATACTAGCTTTATTACAGTGGTCTAGAACTGAACCCACAATATCTCCAAGGTATGTTTGTACTAAGAGTTACCTGTCTACTTCGAGGCCAAATTACTATATATATCACATAGTAATTTGGCCTTGAAGTAGACCAAATTTCTTGTTCTCTACAGAAATTTAAGAGATTGACTTATCCCTTCAAATGGTAAGCACTGTTGTTTAACAGTCTGTGTCTGATAATTCCAACATCTCATGCAGGTCTGTTTCTGTTGTCTTGTTTGCACTGGCTGCTGCTTGTGAAGTCTTCTTTACTTGTATGCCTGGTTATTCAAGCAGATGAATCCTTGAGTTTGAATAATGAAGGTAGAAATAATTTGAGGCTTAGAATGCAGTACCTTTCTGTGTTTTCTTCTGCTAAGCTAGCTCCTGAGAACACTATCCAGTCCAGGATCTCCTTAATTTCAGACTACTCAAGTGATATAAACCAGGCCTAGAAGTCTATAAGAAGACTGGTTTCCTACATGTGTACTATTATTCTGAAAACTGTTAAGCCTTTGGGTACCAGGAGAATATAAGAAAGGTTATTAGACATCCCATCTTGAGCAGACTTGCATTCAGCTATTTGTCTCTCTCACTTCTCAAGGTTCTTGAAAGCTTAGTTCATCATCTTAAGTGTCTCTTCTAAATTGTCTAATGTCCCCAAGGTTGAATACAGATTTCAGCTTTCGGTACTAGGTTTATTTCTATGTTTCCACCTTCTCTTAGATTTGGTCTAGTTATATTCCGCACTATGTTGTTATTTCTTTGAAGTTTTCAATGGTTTTTAACATTTCACTTGCCCATCCCCCACCATGGGAGAGTTAATGTGAATAACCTGTGCCATCAATAGAGGCTTTTATCTTCGAGGAACTTAAAAAATTACCTTAAAGTCAATTTTAAATTGTTATTTCTATTTCTTCTGAAGGGAATCAATCTCCTGGTTGTACACTTCAGTTGCTTTCTAAAGTTACTTTTCTCATATTCCCCAACATTTAAGTTAACTTCTCTGCACCCTTCCCTGTCTAGTGGTTTTGTTGTTGCTTCCTCTTAAGATGCTACCCAATGCCCTATATACTCTGATTTGGGGGAACATGAAGTTTTCCTGGCCCTGCATTAATGTCAGGATTGTTAAGCCTACTTCTTTCTGTTGGTTCTTTCATCCACCTCAAAAGTTTCCTCTCACATGCACATAGATCAGTACTAAGCCAAAGAATTCAGAGGGCCATTCTGTAGGTCTCTAAAGCATACACATTCTCTCTTTCTCTCTCATGTTCCCTTCTTTCCAGTATTCTGTTCCACAAATTCTAATCACCTGTCCAATCTGTCTCTTAAACTCAGTAAGACTAGCATTCTCTACCTGAATTCCTTGTCACTGAGCTGTCACTGGAAACTGCCTAAGGAGGAGGCTGGAGCAATTGTAGAACTCATCTTGTTTATTTTCCTTCTTTCAGGGATCATAATCCTACCATGCCTATTAAGTTGCCTAGTTTTTTTGTTGCTAGAGAGAGAAAGGGTAAATCCAGTCCCTGTTACTCCATCATGTGCAGCAGTGGAAATCTTTTTTTTTTTTAATTACAAAAGTAATATTACTAAAAATTGGAAAAACAAAGAAAACTTATCCACAACTGTAATATCTTAATACAGTCATTATCATATTCTTCCATTTCCTTCTCTTATTTGTTTCTAGTTTCTATATAGATGTAATCATGGCATACCTACAGTTTTGTGGCTCATTTTATTTTCAAGCAGCAATACTTCTCTTAACTACAGTTTTAACAACTATATAATATCCCATATATCAAAAGGAAGTAACCAATTGTACAACTCTTCTGCTATGGGGCATCTGTTGTTTAGTGTTCCCAAAGCTTTTTGCTATATTACATTCCCTTAATTCACTTTCTATTACTACTACTCCTTTGAAGCTCTAATGTCACTGCCTAATCTATACACTCAATACTTTTCTTTGCCTGTTCTCTTTGACTGATTTGGTAAAATTTGATACTTAGTGCAGTTCTTCCCAATCAGTTCCAAAAGAATTAAGTTCTAATGCCTTCAGGTATCTGCTGTAAGTAATGAATTAACTTCTGGGCTATGCATTTAGAATGATAGTAGCTATGTGCCAGCCTTCGAAGAACTGAAAAAATGGTCACTGAAATCACTTTCTGTATGGCTTGATTCTCACTGTGGGAAAAAGCTGCTAGAGTAATCTTAAAAACTTTTTTCTTCTCTTGATATGAATAATATTACTTTGACAGTTTTTCTCAAAGCTATCTATTTGAACTCCTCATCTCTATTTCTTCCAATCTCTGCCCTAATAAATACTGAGTCTTAGGCCTTCAGTTACTTTTTATAAGTTTCTTAAAAACTTTTATCTGATAAACACTACTACCTGGATGATCCCTGATTTTATTTGCTTTTGATACAAAGCTTGACTCTATAGTTTCTAACCACCTACCTGGAATTGTTTGCCTATGTATCCTCCAACTCAATAAGCCAAATGTTGAGTTCATCGTCTCATCCTCCCAATCCCCAACATGTTTTTCATTCAGATATGCCCATTTAAATTAACGGTAACATAATTTACTCAATCACTAAGGTTCAAAACCTGTTACTGTTCAAACCTCCCTAGTTTATTATATACAGTCAGTTACAACGTTCTGCTAATTTTTCCTTTGTAGTAGTTCCCTTCCTCACTCAAGTGGCAGAAATTAGAAAATTAAGTTCAAGCTTTCATGGCCTCATGGCTGAGGCATTATGATTTCAGGACTCTTCATTTCAATCCATCAAAAACACCAGACTCATCATCTTAAATCACAACTTTCATCACATTACTTCTAAATCAGGTCTACGAGTTAGGTATCCCTCTAAGCAAGGTGAGAAGATGGTCAAAGCAGTGTTTCTCAAACTCTACTGTGCATAAAAAGTACTTGGGGATCTTGCTAAAATGTAGATTTATCATTCAACAAGTCTGGGAGGGGTCTGTAATTCTGTATGTCTAACATGCTCCCAAGTGATGCCACTGCTGCTGGTTCATGAACCATGCTTTAAACAGCGAGAATCTGGGACTTCCCTGGTTGTCCAGTGGTTAGGGCTACATGCTTCCACTGCAGGGGGCACAGGTTTGATCCTTGCTCAGGAAACTAAAATCCTGTATGCCGTGCAGCGTGGCCAAAAATAAATAAATAAATAAATAATAAACAGTAAGAATCTGAGAATAAAAGAAGAGAGGTGAGAAGAAGTACAATGCTGTACACTAAGTTTGCATTTCCAGCAATATAAAGCTCAAATTCCCCATCTTAATATTTAGATTACTTTAAAGTGGTCCTGCTCTACCTTTCTAGCCTTTAATTCTTGTATTTTATATAAATCCTTTGAACAATCAACAAATTACTCAGTGGTCCTGCAGAGGACACCTGGTAATGTTGAGAGACATTCTAACTTGTTGAAACTTAAGGAACTGCTACTAGCATCTAGTGGGTAGAGGTCATGGATACTGCTGAACAGTCTACAATGCACAGGACAGCTCATCACAAGAATTCCAGCCCAAAAGTTCAACAATGCCAATTCTGAAGAAACTCTGCCCTAATATATGCTGTTTTCTGCCTCCCTGCGTTGGCTCATTCTCCTCCCTATACTTCTTTCCTGTTTGCCTACCTAAAACCTATCCACCATTCAAGGACTGGCTCAACTACTTTTCTACAAAACATTTCTAAACTACAGAGTTTATTTATCCATTCCTATGCCCTACTTAAATAACATTTAGTGTATTACTGCTACATACCAGAAACTCTTACAGGCTTTAGGGATATAAAGTTAAATTTTAAAGTGCACAGTTGCAGTCCACCATAAGTTTATAGTGAAGAAGACATACAATAAGCATTATGTTAATTGCTACAACAAAGATAAGCTCAAGATACAAAGGCAAAAGAGCAAAAAAACCCCATCAAATTGCAGAGGGGTAGATATTTCAAGAATGGCTTCCAAAAGGATGTGGTTTGGGGCTTCGCTGGTGGCACAGTGGTTAAGAATCCACCTGCCAATGCAGGGGACATGGGTTCAAGCTCTGGCTCAGGAAGATCCCATATGCCGCTAAGCAACTAGGCCCGTGCGCCACAACTACTGAGCCTCCACTCTAGAGCCCGTGTGCCACAACTACTGAGCCTGCATGCCTAGAGCCCATGCTCCACAACAAGAGAAGCCCGCATACCACAACAAAGAGTAGCCCCCGCTCGCCACAACTAGAGAAAGCCCGGGTGCAGCAACAAAGACCCAAGGCAGCCAAAAATAAATAAAATAAATTAAAAAAAAAAAAAAGATGTGGTTTGATGAGTAGCAGTTAAATAGAAGAATCTAGAAGAAAGAGACAGGAGGAAAAAGGTGGCAATCCAGGCATAAGAAAACTACACATGTAAAAAAATAGGTGTTAATGAAGTATAAATAATTATGATTATAAAATTTGGGTTGCTGGGAGAAGTAGAGCAAGGAGTGGAATAGATGAAGTTAGAGAAGAAGACCCAGCTAAAAGCATGACTAGTCTTATACTACCAACAGTCGAGTTTTAAACCACTGAGTATTGTGTTAATTTAAGGGGAATTACTAAAATTTAAAGCAAAAAGTCTTATTCACGAGTTCTCTCTTCTACATGCGAACTATTTATCTATTTTTTCTTGACACTGAATTTTTCTGTGACTTTTTTTATCCCAATGGCTTGCACTTGATTTTTCAGATATTTATGCCCTGCCTTCCAATCAAAACAGGTCTCAAAAGTATCAATTTTGTAAACATAAGTTATATTTTTCCCACAGCTCTTAGGGCAGGCTCTTAAACATTAAAGTCTTCAAATATTTAATTATTTCTATTTTTAAATAGTATTTCTCAATATGAAAAAATATATAACATATTTGGACAAAATTTCTTTCCTGCACATCAGTGACCCTGAAATCATGCCATTAAATATTAGAGGCTGTGTAGTTATTTGGTTCTCTGGAAGCAGACACTGAGATCAAATGAGGAGTACAAAAGGCTTATTAGGGAACAACATCTGGGAGAAAAGTGAAGAAGGATTGAGTAGGGAAAGCTATCAGCAGACCTTACAAAGTCCCTGACAGGCAAACAGGCAGATTCATAGCAAAGACCACCCATTAAAGGAGTTCCACTCTGGGTGGAAATGGCTACAGTTGCTTTTACTCCTTAATCCTCCTTCTAGTATTATAAAAGTACTCACCAGCTATTCCAAATTGGTTTACCTTTCACTGCAGGTGACTATTTTAATGCTAATAAGCTCTTCCTAAATTCTGCTATAAACTTTAATAGTTTTCAGATAGGAAAAGGCAGAAGATCTTTCAATGCAAGCAATAGACCAAGATTCAAATAGCTATGCAAATCCACAACAGCAGAAATAAAAGCTGATTTGAAAAACAAACATGAGATGTCAATGGCTCTAAGACCACAGTCACTTAAAAAATGGAAAAGCTTATTTAAAGATGGTAATTTAAAGGCTGAAAATTTGAGAGGAAATAATGAAAATAAATGTCAAAGAATCTCAGCACTTAGTATTATAAATAAAAAACAATCTTTCATGAAGAAAGTAAAATAGCTATAAATTACACAGCTTTATATAGATACACAGGTAGATAGGGACAAGATTTAGTTTAAACTGAGAGTCTAGAATCATAGAATTTTATGACAGAACTTGAAAAAACATATCTGAATTATTTTATTTTAAACCTACATTTATATATAATTTCAATTATTTTAAGTTCTTGAAAATACTTTTACAATAATCCTCACCACACCACCAAAATATACAATTTAAGTACACCTACCTAATACAGTTACAGTTGTAGAGGACTGAGCATTTCCAAGTGGGAATGTAACAGCTTTGCATATATATTGTCCAGAATCAGAGAATCCTATGTTATGTAGAGTAATTGTTGCATCATTAAGTGAATAGTTTTTAAACAAGACTCTTCCCTGATATTCTCCTTGAACAGAGAATCCATATTGAGGATGATGAACTGCAACAGTCTGTGCACTTTTGCCATGTATCTTCTCCCATAAAATTTGTGTTATAGTTTCATTTCCTTCAATTAAACACTTCAGTGAAACATTCTTTCCCCATACTGCTGTGACATGTGGCTCCACAATAACTGGTCCAGCTAAGGCACCTAAGGAAAAACAAAAAAGTGTAGTTCTTAAAAATGAAAAAAAGTTACATTAACATATTATCAAATTCCCTCCCTTCCTGTTTTCCTCTTCCTTCTTCTCCTTGTGTAAGTACACACACACACACACACACACACACACACGCAGAGGCACAGACACTAATGACCGAGTAACAGGAAGGACTGAAAAGAGCTAGATGTTCCCAGGGCTGGATTTAAGACCCAAAGAATGATTCTTAAGTGAATCAAATAATCACCAATATGTGTTGCAGTGGAAAAGCACTAGATTGGGCCAAGAGTAAGCTTAAGAGCAGGTCCTTCCCCATTCAAGGCACCAGGTAAGGTCCCAGCCCTAGCTGACACCCTGACTGCAGCCTTGTGAGAGACTCTGAAACAAAGGACCCAGCTGATCTATGCCTAGATTCCTGACCCAAAGAAACTGAGAGGTGATAAATATATGCTGTTTTAATACTATTAAATTTTAGGGTATTTTGTTACTCAGCAACAGATAATTAACACATTTAGGATCTGTCAAACCAAATATAATACCAAAGTTTCTTCCTTTGGAGAGTTCCTCTACCAAAAATCTGTATAAAACACTTCATTAAAGATAGACCAATTGCCAGAAAACATGAATTCAAAAAACACATATAAATGTGAAATTAAGTTTTTCTATCTCACAGATGAAGAAAAACTATTCTACAAGCAAAAGTTAAAATAAAATGATACCAAACTTCACTTTTATAATAATGATTTCCTTCCTAAAAGCAATGGATGAAATATAAATCATTTTTAGGAACATAGGACTAATACTCATGAATACTAAACTCAAGCAAGATGATCTTCACTGACAGGTATATTAGAACATATATAACAAATCCTTGGAGAGTTTACAACTCACATACATGTCCTGGCAAAATAAATGCTCAAACTAAGAAGTAAACCAATATAAGCACTTGAATATAGAAACTGTATAAATACCTTTAAAATTTAGAGTTATGTCTAGTTAATATTTTTAAATAAATACAAAAATGCAGAAAGGTATCACTTAAAAAGATAACCAAGAAAAATGTGTTTAAACATATTCAACAGTTCTAAACAACAACAAAACCTTTACACAATATTATTTCCATGAATAATATTTTTTCCTTCTTGGCAGGAAAAAAAAACCATAAATGAATATATTAGATAGATACATACATGGATACATACATAGCTAGATAGCTAGATAAGAGGGCAAACTTTACCACCCAAGAGATGATTGAGGATATTACAAAAAAGGACTGACAATTCACACTGACCATACTTAACAGCTATGGCAGAAAAAGGCTTTCTTTTAGCCACTCCACCAAAAAAGTATCAAGTCCAAAAAATGTACCATCATTGCTCTTATGCTTTCAAGCATAATTACAAAGCTTTTAAAATTTAACCTAAAACATATAAAATATGAAAGTATTCTAATGCATTTTAACAAGCTATCATAAGCCTAGTACTATACCCAAAACTATGCAAATGAAAGGGCAATTTACAAATATTGAAAATTTCATATAATATTATGAAAGAACACACAGCTCTTTATTTAAAGAAAAAGACACAATGACCAAGTAGGATATTCAAGAAAGTAAGGATATTTTTAGACTATTCATCACATGTGAAAGGTCACATAACTTTCTCATCTGATGCCAAAAAGACATTTAATAGAATTCAATATTCATTATCTGATTTTTTTAAATTAATTAATTTAATTTTTGGCTGCGTTGGATCTTTGTTGCTGCACGCAGGCTTTCTCTAGTTGCGGCAAGCAGGGGCTACGCTTTGTTGTGCTGCACAGGCTTCTCATTGTGGTGGCTTCTCTTGTTGTGGAGCATGGGCTCTAGGCACACAGGCTTCAGTAGTTGTGGCACACAGACTCAGTAGTTGTGGCTCACGGGCTCTAGAGTGCAGGCTCAGTAGTTGTGGCGCATGGGCTTAGTTGCTCCACAGCATGTGGGATCTTCCCAGACCAGGACTCGAACTTGTGTCCCCTGCATTGGCAGGTGGATTTTTAACCACTGTGCCACCAGGGAAGCCCTCATTATCTGATTTTTAAAAAATAACTAACAACTGAGAAAAGGACTCTTAATAATAAAGTAGATTTTTCTCAAATCAATGGCCATCACAATGCTAAAATTTAAAAGGGGGCATGGTTATTAATGAAAGACCAAGGCAAGATGGTGCACTGTCATTATCATCATTCAACTTAGACTAGAAATTCCCGTTCAATGAGACAAGAAAAGGAAAGAAGGAAGAATAAGAATAAGAAAGGAAAAGACAAAATTATTATTTGAAAAACCTATTACTAGAAAAACCTAAGAAGGCCAAGTAAAGTGCTATTAGGACAAATAATGTGGTTGCTTGCAAACCATGCAAACTGTATACAAAATGTATATTCATCAGGCCATAACAAGTGATAACCTTTACAAACTTACTGTAGAAAAAGTCAATATTCGCAAAGTATTAACATTTAAAACACCCATGAATAATGTTGTAAAGAATCTAGAAACCTGAGAAATTAACTTGAGTAAACGGAAGATATGTTCCTGAGAAGAAAGACGTAATACCTACTACTTAGACAGCAAATCTCTCCATGTTAGCACACAAATTCAATGCAACTTCAGTAAAAACCATGACAAAACTTCTTGAAACTAGAATAGGGACACTATGTTTAAAAAAAAAACCCACGATAGCACAGTAAAGGGGAGAAAGAATACTAAAGTAAAAATAATAAAAACCTTAATGTCTTAAAACAATTGAAAGTACACAAACAGATCAACATATAGAATGGCATACAATATGTAATATGTTGTACAAGTGGCGAAATAATGAATTAGTCAAGACATGATGAAAGGACAAGAGCTAATATTTGGAAATAGATCTACCCCTGCTTTACTAAACACACACACACACACACACACACACACAAATCCAGATGAAGATATAAATGTAAAAAAATGAGCCACATATTCCATATATACTGACAATAATTTTTTATATACTCTGGAAGATAAACATTAGTTACTCTAAGGAGGGACACTACTAAGGATTAAAGAAAGAACTTTTAGTTTTTACTTTGTATTCTTCTTTGATGTCAGAATCACAGTAAATAATGTTCAAAATAAAAGCAAATAAAAAATACAGAATCATCTTCCTCAGGTGGAAGCAGAAAAGAGATAAAAGAAGTATTATGGACTGAATGTTTGTGTTCCTCCAAAATGTATATATTGAATACCTAACTGGTGGTGGGGTCTTTTCGTGGTAATTAGGTTATATGAGGGCAGGGCCCACAGGCTGGCATTAGTGTCCTCATAAGAAAAGGAAGAGAGAGTAAAGCTCTCTCTCCCTCTCTGTGAGGACAAAGCAAGAAGGTGGCTGTCTACAAGTCAGGAAAGGGTCCTCAACAGGAACTGAATCTGCTTGCACCTTGATCTGGGATTTCTCAAACTCACAGAACTATAAGAAATAAATGCCAGATGTTTAAGCCAACCAGTCTATAGTGTTTTGTTATAGCAATCCCACCTTACTAAGACATTAAGTGTCAGAATTAACTTGAAGGGACAGTGCTAATGATATCTCCTTACAACCTTAAGAATAACAGCTTATGGGGTAGCAATACTTTTATCAGGCAGAACAGACTTTAAAACAAAATCCAGAGCAAAAGACAAAGAAGGACATCATATAATGATAAAGGGATCAATCCAAGAAGCAGATGTAACATTTGTAAACATATATGCACCTAATATAGGAGCACCTAAATATATAAAGCAAATAATAATAGACACAAAGGAAAAAATTGACAAAATATGGTAACAGTATGGGATTATAATACCCTACTTATATCAGTGAATAGATCATCCAGACAGAAAACCAATAAGGAAACAGTGGTCTTAAATGACATATTAGACCAGATGGACTTAATAGATATCTACAGAATACATATCTCACCCCAATACAGAATACACATTCTTTTCAAGTGCACATGGAACTTTCTCCAGGAAAGATCACATGCTAGGCCACAAAAAGGTCTCAGTAAATTTAACAGATTGAAATTATATCAAGCATCCTTTCTGACCACAATGGTATGAAACTAGAAATTAACTACAGAAAGAAAAATGGAAAAAATACAAACATGTGGAGACTGAACATGCTACTAAAAACAAATCACAAAAAAGAACACCACAATGCGTCCATGAACAAATCAAAGAGGAAATCAAAAAATACCTTGAGACAAGTGAAAACAGAAACAAAACTTTCCAAAATCTATGGGACACAGTAAAAGCAGTTCCAAGAGAGAAGATACAAGCCAACCTCAAGAAACAAGAAAAAATCTCAAACAACCTAACTTTCCATCTAACAGAATTAAAAAAGAAGACAAAGGCCAAAGGTAGCTAGTAGAAGGAGGAAAATAATAAAGATCAGAGCAGAAATAAATAAAATAGAGACCAAAAAAAACAAACAAACAAAAAAAACCCACCAACAGAAAAGACCAATGAAACCAAGAGCTGGGTTTTTGAACAGAGAAACAAAACTTATAAACCTTTAGTCACAATCTTCCAGAAAAAGAGAGCCCAAATAAAATTAGAAACAAAAGTTACAGCCAACATCACAGAAGTAAAACAAACAATCATAATACCACAGTTATATATCAACAAATTGAACAACCCCCCAAAAATGGATAAATTCCTAGGCATTGCAATCTTCTAAGACTGAATCAGGAACAAATAAATAGAAAATCTGGACAAACCAATTACGAGTAATGAAATTGAATCAGTAATCAAAAAACTCCAAAAAAACTAAAGCCCAGGACCAGACAGCTTCACAGGGCAATTCTACCAAACATTTAAAGAGTCAGTACCTATCCTTCTCAAACTATTCCAAAAAGCTAAAGAGCAGAGAACACTCTGAAACTCATTCTGCAAGGCCAGCTTTACCCTCATACCAAAATCACAAAAAGACACGACAAAAAA